TATGCCCAAGGAAACTGTGAGACATTGTTATATCAGGCAAAGGGTCAACTGCTTTCACAGTGTTTATGAAATTCAAGACATTGCTTCAGGGTAGTGCCTGATGTTTTGAGATTGAAGAACATTTTATATACTTTTGTAGAGGGAATTGTGCCAACATTGAAACTGCAACTTGCAATGAATTATTAGATTCATAGAGTTTAAGGCCAGAAGGGACCATTACATCATCTAATCTGACCTCCTGTATATCACAGGCCATTAAATTTCACCCAGTTACCTCTGTCTTGAGCCCAATAACTTGTGTTTTACTAAATCATAACTTATGTTTGGCTAAAGCATAACTTCCAGAAAGGCATCCAGCCTTGATTCAAAGAACATAGCTGTGATCTTATTTTCACTGATACGGTTGCTTTATGCACATTATACAGTGTGTGGGTAAATGACAGAGCTTCCAATAGTACATTCAAATGTTAATAATATTACTGAGGCCCAGAATTTCAGACATGGGTTTTAGTTTGTGGGTGCAGATATGTCTGGCCAGAAAGAACTGTGCCTTCATTGTGCACCCACAATAAACTACAGGTACAAATATTACTAATTAGATATCTACCAACCTGTCTGAGCTTACAAAGCAGGTAATTAATTGCTCAACTACTAGTATTTACCCATGCTAAGGGTGTCCTTAAGCCTCTGACTGCCAGATACTGGCACAGAATGACAGAGGATGGATCACTCAATAATTGCCCTGTTCTATTCATTCCCTCTGAAGCACCTGGCATTGGCCACTGTCAGAAGACTGCAGTCTGGGCTAGATGGACTATTGGTCTAACCCATTATGGCCATTCTTATGGTTTATCTGCATTATGGGTGAACAAATACAGGGTGAAAAACTGCATCCATAAAAATGGAGGTTGGAGCATAGCTGAAAACCAAGCCTTTGGCATATATACAGTACTCTTCAAAGGAGAAATGTTTATGGGGCCTCAACCCAGGTCTTTGGAAAAATCCTGCTTCTGCAGCTGTGGAGGCTCCTCTGATAGCTGAATTGGTGTTATTCCACTGTATTAGAAAGGTGACAGGATACTGTAGGCCAGTGGTTCTCAACCTGTTTACCATTATGGGCCACATATGAGGCTCACAATATGTTATGTAGGCTGAATCCAATAATACTTTTATGGCCCTGAGAATGTTACATGGGCCGCAGCTCTGTGCTGATTGGGCTGCAAGCGGCCCATGGGCCACAGGTTGAGAACCACTGATGTAGGATGTAGATTCTGTATAGTATATAGGTGAGCTCCTGCGCACTAGTAAATGTGAGGCAAGTCATAAGAGGAACAAGCCTGGAGAATCTGCTGTTAGATGGCCCTTCTCATTCACACTCACATCCTTATGTAATGATCAAGTTGGCATTATGGAAACTCCAGCAGTACTGGGAGAGCAAAAGGCCAGTTCATCTTTGCATTTAACTTTAAAAGGACACTGTACTTGTCGTGCTCTCAGTAAAAGAACCTATATGTCTAGATTTTCTTAGGGTTTTTTTTACGCTAATTACTGAGACTGGGATAGTCCTCTAACCTGGTTAGAAAGAGGGAAACAAACAACCAAGGAAACAAAGGTGTAAGAGTGTTTATACGTCAACATTGGAGAGAGTTTGCTTTCTCTCTCCACCTGCCCAGAGACACAATAACCTGATAGCCTGGACTGTTTATACAGCTTTAATCTGATTGGAGGGTCATAAACAGAGCTGGTTGGAAAACTTTAGCTGAAATATAATTTCAATGCAAAGCAGAGAAAACATTTTCACCAATTTTTTGTGAAAATATTTTTGTTTTCTGGCCACCTCTACTCAAGAAAAGTCAACAGGAAATGGCTCTCCAGCAGAAACAGACAGTTCAAGATCCACGGCTGCCTACGTCTCAAGTATCCCAAAGATTTTTATGGAGCCCCTGTAAATGCTAGCTAAAGAGCCAGATGTTCAGCTAGAAAAACAGATCACACAGCTACCCATGTCAGTCACATGTCCTCCATGCATATCGACTGTGGCTAAAAAAAGCTGATCTTGTTGCAACAGGAGATAAAAGAGAAAGCCCAAGCTGCAGATCACCAGCCCTGTGAGCAGCAAGAGAAAATAGGACATGGAATGTAGAATTTCCAGCTCAGATGCATACATGTTCTGTAATTACAAATCTACCTCCAAAAAGATGTACAAACCAGTGCTTTTCAAAACATTTAAAGCCAATTTCCATCCTGTTTTAAGTAGGCGAGTTCTGTTGACTTCCATGGAGATGCACCCACTTTCACCTAGACTGAGTTTAGCCATCGATCATCACCTTTAATCCTCACAAAACCCCTGGAGAGAGTGGGTACCCCACTGTGCGTGCTCTCAACTTATGTATTGTAGTTTACGTATTACAGTAGTGGCATGTGTTAATCACAAGATCATCTTTTCTTCCCAAACTCATCTCCCCTACCTAATGGATTCATATATAGGCAGTGCATCCACTCTCTCACATTCTTCGCTTATAGGAGTAAGAATAACTGGTGCAAGGGACGGTTTGCAAGAACCATTGCTCAGTCCACGTAGCTGCATGTGGGTAAATGCATGTACATGTGAAACATTCCCAATTCACATGGTCACGTCTAGTTACACCCTTCTGCAAAGTTAGTTGCAAAGAACCTTTGGAGATACCATTCTTCAAGTCTTGTGGGACAGAGTAGGGTAACCAGAACTGGGGCAATAAACATATCCTCCGACTTCTGCCACCATACTTTTTGGTTTGTACATTGCAAGTGAGAATTTGAAAGAACTTTTGTGTGTAGAATAAATTTGAAATGAACATTTACTTAGACAGCAAATTTCTTTGTTTTATTTTCCCCTGAATTTTTGACCAGCTGCAATAAATAGTTAAAAAATACAAAGCAAGCATTCTCATTGGACTATTTTTTTTGTTAGTTTTGAGATCTGTGTAATAGTTCTATTTCAGGTACATGTAAAATGTTATTGGTACATGTTAAGTAGTTGTGGAGAATAACTTTCTGACCAGTATTTGTGAAGCACTTTATATGCATAACTGAAGGAAGGATTTTGCTACTGTCAATGGGGTTCATGTGTAAAAGAGATATGTGCAAATGCATCGAAGTGTTACCGATAAATGGTATTGAGGTTGTTGATTAATTGAGACTAAAAACAGATGAGAAAATTAAACAAACATGTTCTTGTTCAAGTCTCTTGATGAATTTGTCAGGGAGCATGGCGTAAATTAATAATTGCTTGGAATGGATAAAAGAGCTCATTTTCTAGTTTTGCACACACAAAACTAATCAGTTGATATGAAGAGCATGGTGGCATCTGTCTGTTTTTAATTAGGGATCTTAAATGACTCTTGTAATAAAGATCAGTAAATAAGATACCCTACAGGGTTAGAGAGGAAGTATTCAGATGTGGTTTTTGCCACCCCAGAATCCATAAGCAGCCAGAGGAAGAGGGCAGTTCTTTCTAAAATTTTACAATACTTTGTCTCTGATCCAATTTCTCTCCTCGAGCCTTCCCCTCCCAGTACAGACACATACATGCAATGCTTCTCTCCCATCTCTGCTTTACTGCTCCAGGGCTAGTGGACAGTCCAGACATGGCAGGAACTTCCTTAAGGGGTATGCTGTACTTACATTCTACTGAATGTTCACACACAGACTAACACGGCTGTTACTCTGAAAACTGCAATTAATGTCACCGCAGGAAGCTTTGTAAGCCCTGAGTAGGTACCACATACGGCAATCAAAGGGTTATCAGAGTACTGAGTGGTGTCAGGCTGTAGACCATTAACATTGTTGGCATTCAAGCATAATGAATGATCTCTAAACCAAACTATAAAATTATATAAATACATTTTTCCTGAAGCTCTGGCACTTCCAATATCTAAAATGGAACAAACTATACGTACTTTCTAAAGGAACCAAATTCTGCTCATGGTTACCTCACTATATTAATCCAGAGTTACTTCACTTCAGTGAAAAGAAAAGGAATACTTGTGGCACCTTAGAGACTAACCAATTTATTTGAGCATGAGCTTTCGTGAGCTACAGCTCACTTCATCAGATGTTTTGAAGTTACTCTGGATTTACACTGGTATTAATTTAGGGTTGCTAGGCATCTGGTTTTCGACAGAACACCCGGTCGAAAAGGGTCCCTGGTGGCTCCGCTGACCAGGCCATTTAAAGTCCAGTCAGCGGTGCTGCGGGGCTAAGGCAGGCTCCCTGCCTGCCCTAGCTCTACACAGCTACCCAGAAGCAACCAGCATGTCTGGCTCCTAGGCGCAGGGTGATCAGGGAAGCTCTGCATGCTGCCCAGCGCCAGCTCTGCAGCTCCCATTGGCCATGAACCGCGGCCAATGGGAGCTGCGGGGGCAGGGCGCAGGCAGCATGCATCGTTCAAGCCACCTGGCATTGCCTTTGACCACGGGGCCAGACATGCTGGCTGCTTCCAGGAGCAGTGCGGAGCCAGGGCAGGCAGGGAGCCTGCCTTAGCCCTGCTGCGCCGCCAACAGGGAGCCGCCTGAGGTAAGCACTGCCCAGTCTAAACCCACACCCCGAACCCCCTACCCCAGGTTAGAACCCCCTCCCACTCCCTAATTCCTTCCCAGACCCTGCACCCCCTCCCACACCTCAACCCCAGCTGTGAGTCCCCTCCTGCACCCTGAACTCTATCCCAGAGCCCGCACCCCCAGCTGGAGCCCTCACCCGCTCCCACACTCCAACCCCCTGGCCCTGCCCAGTGAAAGTGAGTGAGGGTGGGGGAGAGCGAGAGATGGAGGGAAGGGGCCTGGAGTGAGTGGGGGGGCAAGGCCTTGGGGAAGGGGTGGGGCAGAAGGCAGGGGCAAGGGTGTTCAGTTTTGTACAATTAGAAAGTTGGCAACCTTGTATTAACTAGGAGCAGTAGAACTTAGCTCTGTATTTTCACTGACAGTTATACAATATACTCTGTATGCTCTTTTTCAGTCACTCACCTTCCTGGGTGCTCCTGCAGTACCTGGTAGACACTTATCTGGAATGTTTCATTATCAAACCGTTCTTGGATGTAATCCTTATATATCCTGAACTCGGCAGCAGTCACTGCTTCCCCCTCTGGGATTCTGGAGAGATCAAACCTGAACTCCCGATGGTGATAGCGCTGATGATGGAATTCTCTGTCATGCTCCACTGAAAGAGAAAAACAGCCTATTAGCCACCAGCTTTTGTTTAGTTTCTCTATCAAGTAGCTTGCAATTAGCCCCAACAGAAGAAGGCATGAATATTTGACTACTTCACTGCATTCTCCTGTTAATTTCTTACTAGTTTTAGCACATGTGGAATATGAAACGAGTGATTGCTGAAACAGTTGTCATCATGCAGTGCATTGAGTGATGCTGACTTTTGACTTGTAACGATTTTTGGCAGAGCTCTGCTCGATAACTCTTTCTGGGCATTTGCCACTAGCAATGTACAAGCTGCAGTGTGAAGGATCTAAAAGTGAAGGGTGGGATTTTTCAGAAGCACTGACTGTTGAAACAATGGGAGCAGAGTGAGACCAACACTGAGTGCTTCTGGAAATCCCAGCAGAAGATGTTCTAGTTCTGACAACCTTTCTCATGCTAGTACCCGATTTTCTGCGCCAGTGGAATTTGTTGCAGAACCAGTGAAATTACTGAATTCTGTTCCACAATGTCTTAAGCTTTCATCTGTAAGCAATTCTAGCCCATAAAGGCTGTGACAAAAAACCTTCAATTTGAGCGCCTTCCTAGGTCTGCAAATTGACACCCTGTGACAATAGCTTTGAGATGTGTAAAGTATCAAATTCATTATCAGAGTGTTAACTCTGAAGTGTAAAGCTTCAAGCTTCTCCCCCAACAAGCCTTTTAAGTCACCTCCATCTCGGCCAGCAAGAGGGAGGAAAAGAGGAGACCTAGCCCCATCCCTGTGTTAAAACCTCTGCCTCTGGAGTGCCAATAATGCAAATCACCTCCCAACCTTCCTGTATGTTAAATGCCCCCATTTCGCACTGCTTTACTGTCAAAACTTCTAGCTTCCTCGCAGCAGCTCTTACATTGCAATTATGGGTTTTTAATGTGTGGCACATTGCAGACTGAATATGTGAAGGCAGCATAAAGTGGATTTAATTTCGAAATGTGTGCAGTGTGCCTATTTTATCATTAATTTTAACAATTAATGCAGTCTTTTTTTAATTTAATTAAGTCTTTTTTTTTTTTTTTTACTGTACTCGGGGCTGCTGAAGAACTTGCCACTAGAGAATAAAAGCAGGAGCCTTTCTGCAGAACTTAGGTCCAACTTGGTACAGAGTACACAGGACCACAGCTAATATTCCCTTACAATGTACACTGTGTCTGATATAGCAATAGTAATGGCAAATGTTTATAGTATGGTAATGTCTAGAGGTTCAGACAGAGAGAAGGGCTCCATTGTGCTAGGCACTGTTCAAACAGAGTAAGAGGCAGTCCGTATTCTGAAGAATTTACATCTAAATAGACAAAGGAAGGTTGGGGAAACAGGCACAAGGAGATGAAGTGACTTGCCAAAGGTCATGGAGCATGTCAGTGGGAGAGCTGAGATTAGAACCAGGGTCTCCTAGGTATTAGTCCAGTGCTCTGTCCAATAGACCTCACTGCTTCTAAATGCACAACTCAGGTAATTTTAAGTTTAAGATTTTCTTGGCAACAATGGTCTTTTCGATGGGCCCAATTCTTTTCGGACAGCAGTTTTTGTGCACTGATGTAAATCTACTGAATTATTCCTGATTCACACCAAGTGAGAGATCCAATCATCAGTGTATAAAGTGCTATTTAAATTTACAGTGCTATATTGTACATATGTTTAATAATATTACAGTTACTGATGAAGCACCAGTGAGCCACTCCCTTGCAGTGGAATGGACTGTGGATAGTCTTGTGGAATCAAATAGTAAATCCAACCACATCCACAGAAGTGAGTCCAATACTATTTTACAGTTGGCTTTACCTTCCTCTTCAACTCATAGATTATATCTACTAACAATTTTGTGGTTCTCAGTTTACTGCTGTATGGTAGCCTTTAAGGGACACACCATTACAGTTGACAGTAATAATTGGGATTCATCTTAATGCAGGCTTTTATGTATCTACCCCTCACTCCCTCTAACCTCTCCAAGACAGAGGCAATCAATTTCAGTAAATGCTTTAGCATGTTGGGCATTCTAAGCATGCATTGAATGAACACAATTATTGCTCCAAAACCACTCGTTCTAATCCTAACTCTGCTGCTGATGCCCAATGTAGCCTTATATAGGTCACTTCGTCTCCCTATATCTGAACACGGGGTGTGGTGTGAGAATTCATTAACGATCTAAAACTCTTTGAAGATGAAAAGTGCTACATGAGTGCTAAGTACAAGATTATTAAAAATGCCTTGTCTGGTTTCCACAAAACTATTCCAGGCAAAATAAAGTTCACTGTTAAACTGACAGAGTATAATTTCAGCCCCAAAGGAATTTGTTTGTGCATAAATTATAAGGGAGTAAAAAAATAAAAAGAGAAAGAGAGAGAGATGTTAGAACAGAATGGATCCTATACCCACAACGATTGAGTCACTGATATTATATTGGGTGTTTTATTCTATTTCTGGATAAGCTCACTGGTAGTAGGGTGTCTTTCAGAGAGTTCCAACAGCAGGATATACAGATATACCTACTTCCAAAAACACTTATGGATGAATTTTCAAAGGAAGATGGAATGGGTGTTTTTAAGTATGAATATGCATGTGTGATGGCCACCATCTTAGCCAACACTTCATAGAGTGAACTGGAGAGTCTGGATCCGAAAGCATTGGCCTCTACAACTTGAGCTAAGGCACTGGGCCCTGTATCTAGGGGCTATAACAAACAACTATCCTCTGTAAATTGGGTTTGGGGGGTCAGAGTGATCTCACACACAGTGAGCAGCGGGCTACTTACTTTCTCTGCTCAGAACAAGCTTGTCCTGAATGTTTGAGGCACACAGCTGTTCAAAGTCTGGGACATCTCGTACCCTACATTCAAATGCAAAAATGGCTGTTTGATGCCTGACTCACTGGGTACATATGAAAAGGAAAATTCTTATGATTGCAACTAAAGCATGCATTGTTGAGTCCTATGATAATTAAATCCCACTACTATGAAAAAATCAATGGCCCAGAGTCATGAAGTTAAGATCCCCAAACTCTGAACTTTCCCAGACTTTGGAGATGTTTGGATATAGGGTTTTGGTTTGGGCCATCTCTAGTGTTAAGAGAAACATTCCTATGGCTATATAGTCATTAAAATCATGAAAATATGTGGATACGTAACTGAAGAAAGAATCCCAAGAAACCCTTCAACTCAGTGTTTGTTTTCCCTCTTTTTCTTTGCACTCTGGACGTATTTGCTGACCCAGAAGTAACAAATCCTTTCAGAACTCATTTATGAGAAACACTGACCCTGAATCAACATCTGTTAGATGACTGCAGTAAATCTTATTACATAATTAAACACCAAAATCTATGCTAAAATAATGCTAAGGGTTTGACCTTGTTCTCATAAGAGCAAGATACTTCATAATGAAGGCTGAAATCCTATCCCAAATTCATGGTGCTGTGCTTTGATATTTGTGCACATATGGTACAGTATAGATCAGGCACTGTTTGTTAGACCCCAGCAATACCTTAAGCACAACAGCATGAGGTGAGCAGGGGAGTTTTGAATTTACAATTTTTGGTGGGTGTTAGTTAGACCTTTGACAATACTGCAATATGGCTATTTCTGATTAATTGCATGAGAAGTGTTAGCTGGAGGTATTTTCAAGAAAAGGAAAGAAAAAATGGTCTGATTCTATTTGAAAGGTGTTCACTGTTACAGTGAGACAATAGAATTGTTATAGCTCTTTGCATGTGACTGTAGTTTCTCTGTTAGGCCCATAAAATGTCAGTGATCCCTGCTGACACAACAGACCATCACCATCATGAGAACCTTTGAGGCATTCTGGGGGGATTTAATCTAAGGGGTTCATGAGCCATTATATATTTCAGTGACTCTCTTGGAAGTCCTGGTGGCCTACCTTGTCTATGGAAATTTGTGGGATATATAATTAAATACAGGCTTTCACCTACAGATTTAGAGTAACCATTGGCCCCCTTGTTGGAAACCTCAGCAGAGACACAGATGATGGAATTACCATGACATATTGGCAGGACAATATGAGAGGCAGCTGGCATTGCCACTCTCCCTGCTGCACCTGCTCTGGGTCAAAGAGAGGACATAAAATAAGAAGAGGATACAACCCATATAAAAATAAATGGGAGAATGTACCCTAGTAACTATTTGCCTTTAAAAAAGAAAACCATCCAGTAAAATTGTGTATGGAAGTATGCATTACATTCAAGTAACTGCATATACAAATGCAACCCTCTCTCCATTTGCATGTGCATATACTCAGTTTATGTAAACTGTGTGTGCAAATGAGATGTTTGGTTAAATGTAGGCCTCAAAATTCATTCATCCAGAGTGAGTTGAATGGGTGGGCTAAGAAGAACCCCATGAACCCTTTATTGTAATTGCTTCAAGAGAATATGTGTTGCAGTTCATTGCAGCAACATTAGGTGATGATCTTCTAGCAATCCTTTACTCCTTTGACATGTGCCTTTGTCTGAGTGGGAAAGGAGACGCTGAGGAACAGATGAAATCCTAGCACCAATGAGCTAAGGAGCAGTGGGTCATGACCGAAGGAGCAGGACACCAGTGGAGTGTTTGCAGAGGGGGAGCAGAACAGAGCAGCAGACCTTAGTTGTCATGGTAGCAGGTAAATATGGGGGTTCCAGGGGCATAATTTCAGAAAAATTTGAGGGCAAAGGGGAATGGCAAAGTTGTGTCCCCATATCAAACATTATTGTGATTATATTATATTCTGCAATGTTGGGGTAAAAAGTGGAGCATATGAAAAGTTGGGAGGTGGCCAGAACTCCCCCCTTCCCATTCCATAGCAAATGAGTCGGGCCTTGGTTGGAAACACAGAAGTAAATCTAGTTTGTTTGAAAATCTGGCCTCTGATTTTCTATCAACAATTTGAATAATACTTTGTGTGACTATCCAGTACAGAAAGGGCCTGTGTTCTCTGTGAAGTCTTGATGATTTATGTTCCTTCGGACCTGCTATGTTTCTG